CTCCATCCCTCTGCTTCTCCTTCTTCTCTTTTTCCATCCCTTTCTCTCTCTCTTTCTTTAACTGTTTCTCTATCTACCACTTTCTTCCGCATCACACCAAGAATCTTGGACGGTTGGCTTTTACATTTTCAAGCTCCTCGCACGGAAAATCTCTCTTACATTCAAATCAAAAGGTCTGGACCGCCGTTAGAAGTGCTTTACTCTCATCGTGGTTAAAAGTACGCTACGCTATGGTTTAATCCCAACTGAACGATAGTTTAATCCAACAGACTTTCTGCTTACTATTTTACTTTAATATTTTACCATTATCTACTTAACTCCATGAACAATGGCAATTTCTTTCGTCGCATCTTGCTGCGTCTATTTCTTTTTTTATTTTTCTTATCAGCTCGATATCCTCATTCCTAGATACAAAGTAATTAGATAAAATTGTTGATGGATTTAAGCTTGAATTTTTGTCGTAGCATCTATGGTGTTATTACAAGGGGAATTGTAAACGTGCCTCGTCATTCTGTAGTTAAAGCGACAACGCGATACACAGTGTGTCGTTCTTAATACAGATACTAATTTTCGCAGTAAAAGGCCGGCAAAAAATATTCGAGCGATGGCGGGATATAAAAACAAGACAAAATAAATGTTTTTCACATTTTACTACGGTTGAAAGACAATTTCTAAAAAATATTGGCGCATGTCAGTGAACACACATGTAACACGTAACTGCGCTTTAATCGGCGTATTTATAGATTCTCTATGTATGATCTTGCTCAAATACAAAAAGGTGCGCTTGTTCGACATAACTAGGATAAAATTTTATTTTATTTTCAATCCTCCATGTATGTGTGTGTGCGGGAAAATGTGAAAATAAATTTTTATATATCTCTCTCAAAAACAATCATATAAATCATTGTAATCATGATTAAAAGTTCATATTACGTAAAATTCTCTTTGCAAATAACTTTTGATATGAATCGAGGTGGATAAAAAGATTTCGCCTGGTCAACTACTTTTTAAATATTTTCTAACTGTAAATATCATATTTGATAATATTATATTTTTCCTCTGTTCTTTATTTTTATATTATAATCTATTCAACGCGTCAATCTAAAATGACAATATTAAATTATTGCTTAAGCATTTACACTGCCTATTTGTGTATATAATTAAAAATCACAATTGTATTACATTTGCCCGAATAATATTCGACTTTTTGCATTAACAAGATCTATTTTTAACAATTATTGCATGTTTATGGATATAAATGTGATATATATATATATATATATATATATATATATATATATATCGACATTCCAAAAAATTTTAATTTCAACTCGTCCGAGGGATTTCCGATCCTTAAAATCATATGTCATCCACTATATTGCGTTTTGCGTTACAAACAGTATACGCTTTAATATAATTCCACAGCAAAACGCAAAACTACATTTTCCAATTCGCATACCATACGATTCTAGGGGCGATGAAACGATGGATAAAAGGGTTCGCGCGCGAAACTTAATAAATTAATCCTGTAAACATGAACTCGCATTTCGCTGGTTATTCCGTGCGTGCATCATGGACATATGTATGCGTCCATGACGGCAATGGTAGGATGCAATACGATGTATCTCGCGACTCTGATGGTGTAAGTTCCGCGGAAAATATCAATGTGTACAACGTTCTGTTCTCTCCCCCTCCCACGTGATATATTTACTTAATAAACGTTCCCCGAACGACAGGAAAATTTAAATTAAATTTATTCAGCGAAAACAGCACGTAGGCACGAGGGCGGCCGCAACATTGTTTGCGGGCGAACGAAATGCGTAAAATGGAATGACAGTGCGAGAGAGCAAGTGCGCGGGGGATGAAGCGGCCCATGAAAGGACAAATGGATACAGGGAAAGAGGAGAGGAGGAGAATGAGAGTAGCGAGCTAGTGAAACGAGATAGAGAAGATGAGAAAGATGGACGGAGAAATAGTGCTAGATATAGCGCGAGAGGAAAAGAGCAAAAGAATTAACGGTGAAAACAAAGTGAAAAGCTCGAGAGAGATGATGGCACACTTGAATGACGGCGGCTCGTTGAATTGGTCGTCGGAAGACAAAAATGTAAAAATATGCTCTCGACATGCTTTTCGTACGACGGAAATGTGTCAAATACGCGCGTGCTTTGTCCTCCGTCCGAGTCCGCTGGAACCATCAGGGGAGAGGCGATGATGTCAATGGCGCGCGATGGTGACAGAGTGTGTGCAGCGGCAACAAAAAAAAATGTTTCATTCCACTCGTGCATCGATGTTTGGCATTTGGCCGCCCGGTTGTCGCGTTGTTTTCGTATTATCCGAAATTTTTCCGGTGTCAGTGACTCGTAATTCGAGCATACAACGATCGGTTAAACGGCTCACGACTGTCCGCCCGTACGTTCATAAATTCGCGTGCGGGTCTCTTTTATTACTTTCGCGATACGCTTCGCAAATCGTACAATCCGCACGATTAAGCATTTAATCACTCGCATATATTGTGATAAAAAATTATTGTTTATTAATTTATTACGTTTTTTTCTCATAAGCTGTTTATGTCTTGTGGAATGTAAAATAAAGTTAGTAATATGAATCCTGAAAAAATTTTTCAAATTTATTTTATACATATGTATGTTGATAATTGAAAGATGAATAATACTCTTTTCTTTGAAGCAGTCAACGATAAAAAAATGTGCCATTGTACCGCGTTTCATCTTATTATACAATACATAAAAGAGATGAAGTATGGTATATTTTAAGTTTCTGTTATATCTTTATCTATAGACGAGGATTAAGTTGGCCAACTCGAGACGGATGCTGGCATTAACATTCTCCTCAAACTGCTACCTTCACACATCGCTTGTTTCTTGAAAATTAGCATGTTGATTAAAATTTGACTTGAAAGTTGCTTTGAAACGTGAAACTGAGCCATAAGTTTCTCAGGTGGAAAACGCGTAGAAGCGAGAGCCGTCGATGCCAGGGCGTGGACAAAGTGGTCATATTTCGCAAGTGTCCCATGTCTACCCTTTTGTCTTTTCCCTAGCGACAACCATTGAAAGCAGCTTGCTGTAAGCGGATATTCTATTTAGGGAAAAAAATTGGAAGCATACTTAAAGTTCCTTGTTATTGTATATAAAACTGCTTATCGACTCCGGCTCGTCCTCGTTCTTACTACAAATCCTATGAATCTACTTCGTTTGAATATATGTAAAACTAATTTATTTCTATACTCACTTTTCTCGGATCGACGAATATATAAATGCTTTTATACAGTACTTTATTATTTGAAGAAAAAAAGATAATAAATGGTTAAAATAGTTGAAAAAAATAGCGAATCGAGTATCTACCGTGTATGTATCAGCTGTTTTGCATTAGTTGAATCTGAATGTGATGCTGCGTTTATGATAAAGCAACGCTCCGTCGCTTTTTCAAGAGAATTGTCGATGTCGACGGAGGAACTCTTCATGGAAAATCACGTTGAAGTTTGAAAAATTCGATGGCACGCTCGAAACAGACTGAAGTTCACTCGGGGGAAACGCCGGGTGGACGGCTCTGCAATAGCTCACGGAACGTATCTTTCTTCTCCCCGGCGAACAGATTGTCAGAGGAAACCGTCGGATCGTTCGTTAAAGCGGAAAATCACGCGCACGAGATTTACTCCGATTTCATATTTTTTTTTCAATTGCGTTGATGCTATTCGCTGATTTATCGCGCGACAGACGGTACTTCATTCTTGATTAAACATTAGAACTAAAATATCCTCATGTTACTGAATTTTTCAATGGAAAATTGTCTTTTCCATTTTAAACACAATCTCAAAATAAGATAATATTTTCAGGGTCTTAATTGACATATATTGTGTCTGCTGTCAAATTTTAATTATACATAAAATTGGATAGTGATTCAAAAATGTCCACAATATTCCTCCCCTTTAATTCGATTTAAATTACTATTTGACTCGTAAAAATCACATCAAGTATATAATGTTAGTTATTGTAGCATACTATTCAAATTTTTATTTTGTGCAACGTTATATATATTTCGCCTCATTTCTGTATCTGCCATTCTATTTACGATAAAAGTAAGTTATAGAGAATTCATTCATTTCCTGAGTGCATTTTGTATGCTTTGCCTTGAAATTCTATTTGAAATTTTTCGCCATAGCAATAATATTGCGATTCTCTCAGTATTTCTGAGACATATTCAAACATAATATTATTATATAATGTTATCGCTCATCGAAATTCACTCACAATCATGCTTAAAATAACTAAAATGTAAAACTATTGTAAAACTATCTATAATTTATAAGATTTATGCATTTATGATAATAGATAAGTAAACAGACTTAATTGATAAATACAAAAGTGTTATTGTACGGAAAATTTTGAATTTGCTGATTCATAATGATAGAATGGTTCATGATAATTAATGATGATTCATCAAATTCGTACAAAATTTCCTATACTTCTTGAAATGCACAAAAGAATCATTTTGTTTAATGAAATATAATATTGTATAATAGCTACTTAGAATTAATGACAATAAATATGATAAGACTATTTATAAATAAAGAAAATGACTAATATCTAAGTGTCGTATTTATATATCTATGCAGCTAATTGCAGAAAACAACAATAAAGAACAATTTACTCCTTTATCTATAATTCTTTAAAAGCCGTGCAATTTGTACCTTACATTGTAAATTACAATAAATTTCAGGAAGCATATTATGAGTCCGTAATGAAAATTATGTATCGAGGTTAAAAACAAATTGAGGAAATCCTGACGATTTTATTTGACTCGATATTACGATTATAGTTGACACGCGAGATTATGAGAGGCATCTCGTAAATTGCAATACAAATAAGCTCACGCTATTATATTCTCTGAGTAGTGATTACGTAAATACAGTGCGCGCTATAATCTATTCTTTTGATCAGCAACATGTATTTCGACGTTATAAAAGATGGACAACAAAACAATCATTCTACAGTGTTAAAATGTGGTTTGACAAGTTCGTGTTTTGTGCGTTTATGGTCGCATGGACCATTGCCGAGCAGAATATTCAGTTAGAAATTCCTCAGGGATTTTTAAAGGGTCTAAAAGCCAATACCGTTTTACAGAACAAACCGTACTATAGTTTCAAAGGAATACCTTACGCGAAACCGAATGTCGGTATTCATAAATTCCAGGTAAGTTAATTATAAAATTACCTACATACGCATATATATATCTATTTCAGTAAATTATGTTTCTATATTTAAAATGCAATTCAAAATATTGGGAAAGGCTTGTATATCCTAGACTATGTATGATTATTAATAAATTCATATTTCGCGCTTTAAATTTTTAAGATGCCTGAATCAGCTAATGGCTGGGAAGGCACGTATGACGCAACTTATCATCGTTCGGCTTGTCCATTCTTCTGTATGATAAAACAAGACATGATTGGCGAAGAGGATTGTCTGTATCTTAATGTTTATACACCGGTGTTGGACAAAGATGCTCGTAAGGCCGTTATGGTATGGTTCCATGGCGGTGGTTTTAACGGTGGTCTCGGAGACGATCTCTTCTATGGCCCTGACTTTTTAATCGAGCAAGATGTTATTCTTGTAACGCTTAATTATAGACTCGGTCCAATTGGTAAGTGATTGTTATAAAACATTTGTGCATTAATCGAACTGCGTTTAAGTAATTTTTTGTATCTTTTAAATATTCAAGATTCATAAGAATTGAATTATCGATTTATAGGATTCTTGAATACTGGTGACAAAAATGCACTTGGCAACGCCGGACTAAAGGATCAAGTAATGGCGCTTAAATGGGTCAAGGACAATATACATTATTTCGGCGGTTGTCCTAATCGAGTTACGATTTTCGGCGAAGACGCGGGTGCAAGTTCCGTCCAGTTCCATATGATGTCTCCTATGTCGGACGGTAAGATACATTAATCGCAATAAATTCTTAATTATTAAATAAATATCGATTGAAAATAACGTATAATTTATCGCGCTATAGGTCTATTCAATGGTGCCATTCAGCAGAGCGGAAGCGCGGTGAATACGTGGGCAATTTCTTACAATCCTAGGGAATTTGCCTTCAAATTGGGAGATAAGCTCGATATTGAGACGGATGATTCTGCCGAGTTGGTTTCTAAACTCGCGGAATTTTCTCCGAAAGAATTAATTGCGGCTAGCAATGAAGTAATGAAGACCGAAGTATGTAATTTCCTTACAGCATTCATTAAACGTTATATTGCGCTCGCTAAATGTAAGTTAGATTTCTCGTTACGCGTACCTATACGAGAGATAGTATTACATTAATTTAAGTTTACGGTACGCACGTAGTCAACGCGGACATTAATTACACTAATGAATACTGAGTGCTGGTAATCATTCGATTATGTCATTGCAGAACACTATGAACGGCCGCTTCGCAGCGTTTCTTCCATCGGTTGAAGTTGATCTAGGACAAGAGATATTTCTGCCCGACGATCCTTGGACGCTTCTGAAATCCGGAAAAATTGCCAACGTGCCCGTTATGGCTGGAATTACGGCCGATGAGTCCGCTTTCTTCGTGCAGAGTAATCACCAACGCGATATTACACGACAGTTACATCGTGCTCGGCATCATGTAAACGATAATATTTGTTTCCAGTGATGCTTGGCAATATCGATCAGATGAATGAGCATTTCGAGAACTTTCTGCCGGTCGACTTGAACGTAACCGATGCCGGGCAGAAGAACGAACTAGGTGAAAGCCTGAAGAGCTTTTACTTCGGGGATAAGTCGATCTCCACGGAAACGACGAAAGAGTTCATGATGGTGAGTACTTAACGTTAATATGGTTTCGCTATCGTTAAAATTTGTGCAAACAGCCACCACCTTCCTCAAGTTTAATGACGTGCATATTAATGCTGTTTGTGCATTTTAGATGTTGGACGACATCATGTTTGACGCCGCAACCGCACTCAGTTTAGATATATTAAGCTCCCGAATTTCGACTCCAATTTACGAGTATATATTTTCTTACGAAGCTCCATTCGGTATGATGAAAACTATGTTTCAAGTAGAGGATGGTGAGTTACAACTCCTGCTGTAAAAAGATTATATTTGCTCTACATATATCACAATTCATTACATTATTGCCGTCGCAATGCTGCAGTGTAAGTAAATCTAATTTAATTAATTCTGTTTATTCATAATTGTTGTTTTATTCAACATAGGCGTTGCTCATGGTGATGATATGACATATGAGTTTTATTCGGATGCTTTGAAAAATGTGCCACAACCCGGTTCGCCTGCGGAGAAGATGATGCGTATTTTTACCACATTACTGGCAAATTTTGCAAAAGACGGGTTAGTGATTGAATAATCTTTACTAAATTAATTTGCACATAATTCGCGGGTATAAAATCTAGAAAGCTAATTGTTGATATTTTCAGGAATCCTACATCAAATTTGAATGAGTATGTAACTGTTAACTGGGAACCCAGAGGTAAAGAAGATAACTATATGAATATCAATCAAGAGTTAAAAATGCAGAAAGGTTTCATGCAAAATAGAATAAACTTTTGGACGAATTTGTACAAAAATGTTCTTGGTTAAATATATATATATATATATATATATATATATATATATATATATATTAATTTACGGGAATAAAGTTTAAATATGAACCACATTAAATCTCATAATTAACGAATATAAATAATTATTCTTATAAGAAATAATATGTATGAATGTACAATACATTATAAAAAGTAAGTGAAAATATATATATACATCTAAATAAAATGTGTATCTAAAACTGAAATGTTGTTCACCGTGAAAAAAAGAGATATCAAAAATCAATATGTGAATAATCGATAAAGTTTGGATTATAAAATACCTAATTAAAGTCATCATTGAAGTTTGATAATAGCCATCGATATCTGTGTCGTAAAAAATTTATAATTCGATATTATTTTAAATTTTTATGGCAAGTGAAATTGTCGAAACATCAAGTGTCTGAAATAGCAAAATTGTTGCCGGGAGAAATGTTGATGCAAGATCTCAGTAGATCCTTAGCAGTTGGTTAACGCGGTTGAGATTGGCAATTTGTTGCATGCCTCTCTCTCTCTCTCTCTCTCTCTCTCTCTCTCTCTCTCTCTGTCTCGGTTTCATACCACACTGTTCCTACCTTTTCTCGCGGTGGTCGAGATATATCTGGTGGCATGGTTAGTCACGCACGCACGGTCTCGCACGCGTTACCACGCGCGCATAGCGACCCGCTAGCTGACGTATCGGATGAAAGGAAAATTTATGCCTTGTCAGAGCGTTACGAACCAAATGGTAACAAATAGGGCCACACAGCCGCCGCGCCCGTCGTCGACAAGAAACTCTTCCGTCGTTATCGTGCATGCGCGCGCGCGCGCGCGCGACCAGGGTGAACAATTCGCGAATAATCGCGCGAAATGGAAATTATTGCGGCTAACGCGCCGCGTCGTTGCAGCTGTTACTCGTGTTGCCCCGATATCACCTATATCCTTTTTCATGCAGGATCGCGAAGAGTTTTCGTATAACGAGGTGAAATCGTATGAGCAAGTTCTTCAATAAAATTATGCTTTTTTATAAATAAATAATCGAGAACTTTTATTCGCGCGACATACGTAAAACAGAAAATAACGCGTACGTATAACATCGATCTCGCGAAACACGCATTTGATGTATATTATCGAAATTATACAATCTTGAGATAACTGCAGACTTAGTCGCGTTTTATGATGTAATCAAGAGCGGAGGTAATCAAGGGGAATACGAATGATTGTAGCGCGCGCTGTCAATCGCTCGTTGCATCGTCAACTTTAACGCCGCTGTTGTTTTCAAGAGAGATTATTCCGCGGGAAGTCACGTGGAATACGAAAAACACACGGACGGCCACGGTATATTGATCGCCCCAGTACGGGTGCAGTTTTGACTGCGGGACCGGTGCGCGCGAATGCAATCGATCATCTCGCCACGGGTGAAGAAAGTCTGCACCGGTGCCGACGCGCCTGAATAAGCGATATTGTTAAACGGAGTTTTCATTCTTCACCGTCAATGGGATTGCGCGCAATGATGTTGCTGTCTCTGCAGGATTGACCGATCGGAAATACCGGGAAATTGATGAGTCTTACGGGTCTCTATAAAGCTCTCTCAACTTTCATCTCAACAACTTAATATCTCGTCTACATGACAGGGCGAAGAAACCGTTATTTGCTCGCGCGTCCCGCTTTCGCGAAAGGAAATTTCGCTCGCGTTTCCTCCTGACGCGTTCTGACATTCGCGGAAACGACGCAACGCGGTGCAAATGGAAAAAAAAACGCATGAATAATATACGACGAGACGGTATAAATATATATATATATATATATACGTCGCTGCAACGCTCGTCAATATCTTAATCTGCTCCACTTAGCGTTCGTACAAGTTCCCAGCGAAAATCATTATCGTTGGTACTCGGGCGTACTCGCGATACGACGCGACGCCGCCGTTGCCATCCTCGGAGCCGCTATGCCCGTCTTAACAAGCGGACAAACTCGGTTTGACGATGCCATAATTCGCACAGAAATGCGAAGCGCACTGAGCTTGGCGACGACACTTGACGAGATAAGCGTGCTTATTTACGATGGTTTGCAATTTGGAAACGCGAGATTGTAAACTATTAGCCGCTTCGAGACAAAGACAAACTTCAAAACAGGGTGATTTCGTGAAAGTTACTCGACGGAGAATTATTAACGTTTACATTGTCATTGCGATAATACGCGTAGTTTTTTTATGAAGCTTGTACGATGGTAATTTTTTTTTCATAACGATGTGTCATGCAACTGCTTGCTATTCAATTGCACGTGTCAGTCTTATCGCGCGTGACTGCACTGAATTTAATCGGTTACGAGTTATCCCTTCTCGTTTCGTCGGACAACGTTGAGATTATATATTAGTTGCCACACACAATCTTAGACATCTACCCTTTTCGACGCTCAAGGCGAATGCAACCCTATGTGTAAAGTCCCAGACAAACATTTACGTTTCTAGTTCCTGCATAGAGATTTCTCCTACGTGATGCATTTGATCGCATTTGGATTAATCCCGATCTTTAACCCGCAATGTGAATATTGAAATCCTTGGATCGTGTCGTTTATTCTCGATCTTATTCGCTATTATAAGAGAATATATAATCTACTTTCAAGGGTAATCTAACGCGGTGGCCTGAATTAAGTGATGATCTACGATTCAAGCAGAAATATAATTTTTATTTAATAGATCATTTTTATATTTCGATTGATTTTGCATATGAAAAAAATATCATGATAAACGCATAGTGATTCGATTCGTAATATACAATAATTTTCTAGTCAATTGATACATTCTATCTAGAAATAAAAATATAGAATAATGTACGCTAAAATATTACATAGGTAGCTAGGGTGAGAACAAAAGAGAATCCGCAACAAATCTACAGAATGAAAGGAAATTAAAATGGCAGTCGAGGCTCTACGCCCCATCCTTCTTTTATATGGGTAAAAAATTTGGTCAAATCTCTGAATATGTTCAATGAATGCGCGAAACGGCTAAGTAAAATTAGTTTATTCCAGTGAAATGTCACGCGCAATGTCTCTCTCGTTTTTTAAAGGCAGTATTGAATTTGCATCTTCTCTTTTATATTCTCTTTTCTACAAATTATTTTCAATGAAATTTAAAATCTTATATTTTTCACAGAATTCAAATCGCAATTTTTGTGTAATAATATCTTGTTTTAATTATTTTATAGTCATGCATGCATGTGTGTGTGTGCGGGCATATATTTTATCCTGAAAAGAACGATGTTGAAATTAATGCTTAGAGAGTAATAGAATCCCCTTAATGAATCATTATGGGAAACTGTGTGACTTAATACACAGTAAATGAGTTAGACGTTGTCGTTTAATGATAGTTCCTGACAAATATGAGGGACAGTATGAAACAACGCAAATGTTTGGACTGTATTACGGCGCCGCTACCGCACCCATTTCCGGCAATGTGTGTGCATGTGACACACGCGCGCACATATGCGTTTTGCTCGCGTTCTATGGATCGCGATAAAATAGGAAAAATGAAATGTTATTGATCCATTAACGACTTAGTCGATAAATAAATAAATAATAATGGCTTAACGATTTCCTAATTATGGATGGTATTTTGAATGTGTGAGATTTACCGTGCGCGGCATGGTGTGTTCCCAGCTTCATAATACTCATAAAACTTCATAATACTTTTTCGATCAACGAGCTTTCGCTTTTATATAAACATATGTCTACATATTTAAATTATCCTCGCAGTAAAAGCTGATTAAGTATTCGGTAGAAGTTAATGGCCATTTTACATCGTTGAATAATTTCTATGGACGTTGTAATAACTTATGAAATTTCTGCATAAACCCGTCTAATATCATAACGTTGAGTAGAGATACGAGAGAGAATGCATACGATATTCTATATAATAATCATTATGTTCCATACATTGATACGCGTAACATGCTTTCATACAATACATCCTCATCATCGTCTATTATTTATATACGTAGTTCCGAGAACGCTAGTTTAACATCAGAATTAGATCTATATTCTCTCATTTATGCGATATATAACATTAATGCGACATACACAGTGAACGTATGATAGCTTTGTCGATCCGATCAAAGATGGATTTAATTACGATTAACAGCACTCATCTATGTTGAACGTAATACTGCTTTTTTTGCTCTCGCGAGCGTATGCAATTTGCAAAACACCGAGCAAATAATTATATGATGTATTTACGTTATCGTTATTCAACGCCAACGCGGTGGCGGTGCAACGTAGCAATCGAGTCGCGTAGGTTGGATGTCATTGTTTGCCCATCCCCTAAGGCTAACCACCGTCACCCACAATATTACAGAATTACTACATGCCCCGTCCGTTCGTCGTCGCCTCTCGCTCGAACCAATATCGTGTACATTACGTACGTACATCGGCGGATTCCGCCGCCTCCAATATTAGTTCCGATGCCAGTGCGGAAATTGCATTGATAATGCTAATTAAATTGGTTTGTTTGTTAATTGGACCTGTAAAGGTCCCGATCCTTGTGTGTCCTGCTAGATTACCCCGCTATCGATCCATCGGGACGCGTTCGGCCGCGTTAAATCAAGCGTGATCCTCGGCACCGATCGATACAATATGTTGTCGCCTGCTCTACGTTTCGTGTCACATATAGTTTTGATAACAATTTTCGATTTACCGTTATATCGCGCGTTTATATCGCGTCGGATATTGGATAGTATCGAGTTAATTACCAGATTACGTATCTCGTCGCGCGCCAAGGTAACTTTATCTGTCCCACTTCAGATATTACGAGTTTAAGTATAAACAAGTTATTAATTGATTGGATCGATACAATTAGCCGTAGGAAACGTGCAATTGCACATTTTCTGTTATAATAAATATGCAATAACGCAACGTGTATCGCGTATACATAAATAAACGGATTATATAAAAACAGTCTCGTAATAATTGTAATGTTAATATAATATAAAGAATAGAGAAATTCGTAATAATTGGAGATTATTGAAACGAATGATTTTATT